GTGGTTCAAATTCGACGCAACCAACACATTCCTCGAACCATCTCCCCCCCTGTGCCGCCCCCCGCCGCGAGTTGGAGCTGGGGCAAGATGTCGAAGGCCGCCCTGAAGTGCAAGGACCTCAACGCCAAGATGGCCCTCTTCTAAGCCCACGGGAACAAGGGCGAGAGGGCGTCCCTCGAGGCTGTGTTCACGCCTGACGAGATCAGGTCATATCCTTCCATATCCTTCATTATTCTTGTCCTCTCAATGCCATGTCATATCCTTCCCCGTCGGTGTCGTCGCCCTCGTCGGGGCCTCGTCGGGGCCCCGTCGTCTTCGGCGTCGCCTTCGCGTCGTCGTCATCATCGCCCCCGTCCTGGACATCCAGGCAGCCCCCCCTTGCGATGCCCCCACCCCCAACCCTCCTCCATCAGGGCGCTGCACGGCCGCTTCAAGACCGCCCGCAAGGAGAGCCCCGAGGCCGAGAAGGCTTACTCGGAGGCCTGGCACCCGATGTTGTGTTACAAGAAGGGTGGGTGTGAATCGGGTGATGAGCATATGTAGGATCGCATGTGTGATGCATTGGGTTGGTGGGAATATATGTAGGAGGATGGGGATGCTGAGGGCGATGGGGCAGACATGTAGGCTGGCGAAAAGGTAGGCTGACGATGTGTAGGAGGGCGGTCGGCAGGATGAGGATAGGCTGGGTGAGATGGGGGATGGTTTTGTCGGCGGGGCCGGTCGGAGTAACTGTATGAGAACGAAAATTTAGGAGGATCGTTGGGATGATGGTGAGAGGATGGATGGGATGATGGGCAGGTAGGTCAGTCGGATATGTAGGGTGATTGGTAGGATGCGCCCCCCGCCTCTTGCTTGTCAGGCGGACAAGCTGGACCATGACAGAGGCGGCGAGAAGAAGAATGTTGCCAAGAGCAAGCTACTGATGGGCTACTTGGCCGATCCAGAGCTCGGCGAATCGTTCATGGAGGTGGTGGGTACTATTTGTTTCACAGAAACGGTCGAGCAGGAGTCCGCGTGGATGTCCAAGAAGCAGCTGAAGGACGCGTACTCGTCGTCAGAGGCGGAGGAGATGATTTCAGAGGGCAGGATTGAGGCTTGAACCGTCCGAAATATGAAAAGATGGAGAGGATGCGTTATTCCTCTGTTTGTGTGTTTCAGGTTTTGATCGTCTGAATGGGGGAGGGGGTGGATTTGGAGCTATTTTGTTCGGCAAATGGAGCTTTCTGGCGGCGCCCGCGTGAAATTTCCCCACGGGGCGCCCCTGCCCTCGGGCCCGCGCCCCCGCGATCGCGCAGCCGCAGTTTCACTGGCAGGGGCCTTCAGCCTGGCTGCGCTCGGTTTTTCTCTTTCTGTGGTTCGGTGTCAAGCTTCCCGCGGAAACCTACATCGGCTCGGGGCAGTGGGCTCTCCTGGAAACACAAAGATCGGGACGTGGCTCGGCAGGCAATTTGTGCGAACGCCCACCAACGTGCAGCCCAGGTGCGCCCGAACCCCTTGAACCCTCGGCGGATGCAGCACCAGCAGGTAACCCAGCGGACCAAGAAGAGCTTCTCGCGCTCCAAGGCGCAGAGCGGCTCGGGGAGGAAGGCCACTAACGCAGAGGAGCTCCATGACATCGGCAGCGGCATGGGCGCCCTCAGGATGGGCAGCGACCTCGCGGCCCACGGTGCGCGGGCCAGTTTGAAGCACGTGATTTAACGTTTGGACGTTAAATCACGTTCTTCAATTTGGCCAGGTTTACCATCACACTCTGGACGCTTCGGGTACCCCCGCCAGCCCATCCAGAAACGGTCAGCAGGGGAATCGGCGAATCAGGGGCGGCGGGGCGCATGCAGTCGCTGACGGGTGGTTCGATGATTCGCACTGGCTGCGGCGTCGAGTTGCATCTGAAACTCGCGTGCGTTCCGAAACTTGGAGCCACATTGGAGCTCTCTTGGGAGTCTCCTGGGCCTCCCGATACTCTTACCCGGGGTTCTCCTGTGGCCCTCGTAGGGCCTTCTTGGAACTATGTTGGGGCGCCTTGGGGCTCTTTTTTTATGAGGGGGGGGGGGGTCTGGGTGCCTGCTTGGTGCTCGTTCGCGATGCCTGAGGGGCATATCAGGGGCGCCTTGGGCACTTTCGCTCAAAAGATGATGACCCTTACCCAGACCCCCCCCCCCCCCCCCCTCCCCCCCCCCCATCGGGAGCTCGACATTGGCGTCCTGGGGACACCGCGGCCCGCTATTGCAGCGCTTTCGGGCGCTCTTGGGGCCGTCTTGGTGCCCTTTTGAGCCCCTCTCGGGGGCATCTTGGGCCGCCCCGGGGCCATTTGGAGGCCCCAAGAGCTCATCGAGGGCGAAAAATTAAGAAAAGGCAAACACTCCTTGCGGTGGGGGTCCTCGGAGGCCTCGGGCAACACTCGAAACAATCTTGTGCGCGCATTGTTGCATCTTGGGCGCGTGTTGAAGCGATCTTGGCCCATCGACCGCTGTTTTGGGCGATCCTGGAGGCCGCGTTGCGCTATCCGAGGCCCTCATGGAGCAATATTCGGCCATCCTGGGCGCTGCCCCCCCCCCCCCCCCCCCCCCGCGCGCCCCGCGCGCGCCGCCGCCGACGCCGCCGCCGCTTCCTTTCCCCACCCCGCCCGAACGCACGGAGGGGCCACCTGCTCCCAGGGGGCTGGTGATTTTTCAGACGGGGTGATGGAGGACGACGAGGGCGGTTGAGGGGCGGAGGTGGGGGACGCACGTGAGGATGGTGAAGGGGGAGCGGGGGGGGGGGGGGGATGGCGCGGATAGGGCGGCGCGGGTGGGGCAATGATATGGGGCAGGCCGAATGATGCGACCAGGAGTTGGAAGTAGCTGGGAATGCGGCGCAGGATGAGTTGGAGGAGGATGGCAACCAGATGACGGGTGGCAAGGGTGATGGGAACAGGGCCAGTTCGACGCCCACCCCTCCCACCCACTTCTAGCAAGGCAACATGTCCCACATGGGCTTGGACTTGCCCAGCATCGATGACGCCAGCAGCGGCGATCGCAACGCGAAGGGGAAAGCTGGTCGTGCCAAGGGCCCTCCCCCGTCATTTTTCCCATCCTCACCGCATCTTCCTTATCTTCACCACCCCCATCCTGGCCCATCCTTGCCCCCCCCCCCGCTTTTTCTCCTTGCTCCGTCCTCGCTCTCCCATCGCCTCTTCGTCCTTCCATGTCCTGCCAATCCCCGCGCGACCCTTCTCAATCACCACGTCGTGGCCACTGCCCCAAGCTCGGTGCCCCGCTCCCCGCCCCCCCCCCCCCCCCCCCCACCCCCCTCCCCCATCACCCCCCCCCTTCCCCGTTCCACAGCCCCTCGGGGAGTGGGAAGGGGGGGGGGGGGGGGGGGGGGCTCACGAAGTGATCGATGAGGGGGCGCAGCGGCAAGGATGATGAGAGCGGTGGGATGATGGTGGCGAGGAGGATGACGACGAGGAGGGTTGGGGGGATAAGGAGGAGCGCGGGGCTGAAGATCAGGAGGGCGAGGATGGACGGGGAGGAGTTGAGCTCGGGCTGCAGAGGCCAGCGCGAAGAAGCACATCGATAAGCTGAAGCACTTTGGCAAGCTCATCGATAAGACGAACCCGACGACTTTGAAGGTTCCTGCCAAGGCTGCCGAGGAGCTGGCGAAGCTCGCGGGTGCGACGAAGGGCGCGACGGGGCAACTCCTCCATTCACACAGCCACCACCGCCCAGACGAGGAGGAGGAGGAGAAGGGAGAAGGGGGAGGGTCGAAGCATACTAAGGAGGAGGGGGGAGAAGGAGGAGGAGAAGGAGGAGGAGGAGGGAGGAGGAGGAGGACGAGGGGGAAGACAAGGAGGAGACGGTGGGTGATGATGAAGGGAGGGCTTCTCTGCTCACCTTCCCCGTCCGTCTCCTCCGCGCCCTCCCCCCTGTTCCTCATCATATTCCCTCTCCTTCTCGCCCCCTGCCAATCATCTCCCAGCGCTTCTCGCCACCGTCATCGCGATGGTGCCCTTATACACCTCCTCGCACCCTGGCTCTCCCAGCTCCGACCCATCGTCCACCCGTCCACATTCAATTTCCTTTCTCGCCCCCGCCCTCTGATCCCTCCTCGCCCCTCTTCCTTTCTCCTTGCCCTTATCCTACTCGCCCCCTTCCCCCCTGCCCATCGTCGCTCTCCTCAGCGTGGCCCCCTCCATGGCGAGGAGAGCTCCAATTGCCTGGTGAACGCCAGCAAGGCGCTCAACGGCTGCGACACGATCTCGAAGGAAGATTTGAACGACGCCAAGAAGGCGCTCGGATACAGAGGAAAATGGTCGGGGGGTGGGGGGGCGAGGATGATGGGGGGGAGGGGTGCGAGGAGGCGGAAGTATAAGCCTAATTAGGCGAGGGGGATCAGTTTTCGCCATCAAACTCTGGACGCTTCGGGCACCCCCACCAGCCCATCCAGAAACAATCAGCAGGGGAGCTGGTGAATCAGGGGCGGTGGGGCGCACGCAGTCGCGCAGCAGTCTTTGGGGGCATAATGGTCACGCATGGAAGCTTAAGATGAAAACCCAGCATTGAAGTGTAAGATAGAAGTCAGTGCAAACTACGATGGTGCTTCGATGAGGGGCGAGGGGTGTTTCGATGACTCGTAATGGCCGTTGCACTGATTTGTATTTTAAGCTCGCGTGCGTCTCGATACTTGAAGCCATCTCGGGGCTCTCTTAGGGTTCCATCGCCTGCCAATCGTATGCGCTCTTTCGCCATCCGCCTTCTCGCCGTAGCACGTGTGGCTCCAGCTCGATCGGGCGATCTCGGCCTATCTGGCTCCACATGCAGTCAACCTACATAGCAAGGGTGTGCAGCCTTCCCAAGGGCACCCTTTGCATCCTCGCCTCTTCGGCCCACCCTTCGCCGCTTTCGCTGACCGCGCCCCGCTCGGAAAGCGTCGAAAAGGGCGTCCAAGGCCCTTGCGCCCTCATCGTGCACCTTGTCTATGTTGGTTGACTGCAGCGCGGCGGCATGCCAGCGAAGCGCAAGGTCGACGAGGCCAGCGTCTCGAAGGTCGGGAAGGCTAAGGTCGACGCGGCCGACAAGGGAAAAACCTTCACGGAGCTGAAGAGGTGGGGGGATCGGTGCACGGTCGAGGGGTGGACGGGGAAGCTGGTCGGGCTCGCGTGGAAGGGCGGCGCGGTGGAGGAGACGCGGCACTGGGCGCCGCCGCAGGGCGTCGGCAAGGACGAGGACAAGGCTGGCGGCAACGCCAGGGACGGCGCCAAGGACGAGGGCGACGCTGGCGGCAACACCAAGGGTGGCGCCAAGGACAAGGGCGGCGGCAAGGACAAGGGCGACGCCGGCGGCAACACCAAGGGCGGCGCCAAGGACAAGGGCGGCGGCAAGGACAAGGTCGGCGGCAGAGTTGGCGGCAAACGCAAGTGAGATGCCGCGGCCACCTGCCGCCCTGCCGCCAGCTTCTCCAGCCCCCCCCCCGCTCCCCCCCCCCCCTCCTCATCCGTGACCTCCCGCGTCCTTGCCGAGCGCGGCCATCGTTTGAAACGCATAATCATCGCTGCCAGGGTGGGCGAGGATGAGGAGGAGGGCGGACAGGGCGATGAGGACGGGGCGGCGCGAGGAGGGGGAGGCAGGAGGGGGGAGGAGTCGGGTGCCCCCAACTTTGCCGACGTTCCATTCATTTCTCATCTCCCCCCTGTTGCGCCGCCCACCTCTCCAGCCCCTCATCGATGCTTGGAGCGCAATGGGGGCCCGATGGGTGAGTGAGGAAGGAGTAGTGGCTGGGGGGGGGGGGGGCAGCCGGGCACCTGGGCCTTTGCCCTGCGCTTGTATGGCGGAATTGGCCTTCGGGCCCCGCCCTGCAGGTGCGGGGTAGAGGCGGTCGGTGGTGTTTGGGTGCCCTCGTTGCAGCCCCTTCGATCATGGATTGGTTGGGGCCAAGAGAGAGCCACTGGAAAAAGAGGAGGGGGAGCAGGGGAAGGAGAATAGAGGGAAGGAGGGGGGGTCGCAGTCAGGATGGGGTCGGGGATCGGGGTGAATAGGCGGGAAGCGGTGGCGATGGTGAGAAGGAAGAAGGAGTGGGGGGATGTTGGCACGTGGGAGGGATAGCTGAATAGGGGAGGGGTAGGGGCGGGATAGAACAATCGGGTGTTTTTGTTTTTTGGGGGGCGCCCAACGGAAGTGAAACTGGTCGACCGCGTCAAATGATGATTCAGGCCTTATCGAGGCCAGTCTGGGAACGATAGCTATGGGCCTTATTGAGGCCAGTCTGGTCAATGCGCTGGGCCTTACTGAAGCCAGTCTGGGAACGATAAAAATATAAGACACCATTGTTTTAGCGCGTGCACGCTGCCCAGGTGCTGCAGGTCATCAACGAGCTGAACGGCTCTGCGAACATGTTGCAGCTGGACGAAATCGTCGACACTAACCAGGTGAAGGCGCTGATCACCAGGGCCAAAGGTGTGGTCAGCACGGTCAGCGACCTGGGCATCGTCCAGCAGTAGGCGCGCAAGGGAGAGAGTGGCAGGACATCTAGAGACGATGCCATACAGCTGGCCAAATGAGCCGAGGGGGGGCCCTAACCCTGCAAGGTTAGGAACCTTCTCGGCTTCTCCGAGGGTGTACCCTTGCTCCGAGGATGTCCCCTTAGGTTTCTCGCTCCATGGGCCCCTGTCTCTGAGGATGTGCCCTTATGTTTCGCAGCCTGAAGGATGCACTCCGATGTTCCTCGCGCGTTGGCCTCTCCATGGGCCCCTGGGGCTTCTGGAAAGGGGCCTGCGCCAGCTGCGACTGTATTCAGCAATGGCATCGACTCGAGAGTTCCTGCGCGGCGCAGCGTTTGCCTTGCGTGGCGGCCAGCGCCGCAGACGGGGATGGAAGGCATCTCAGAAGGCCTCCTGCGAGGCACACCCTTCGCAAGATGCGCGTGCCTGTGTATCTTTACCTCAGTTGCGCGGCCCATGGGGCCGCATTGCAGTCCAACCCCCGTTCCCCGCGAAAACGATGTCAGCCCTCGTGCATCCTGAGATCGTCTGGAAGCAACCCTGCCACCGAAACATGTTCATTAGCAAGGGCGCCCTCGAGGGCGCGAAGTTATTCGCGCTTCGCGGTTCGGCCTCCCCCCCCCCCCTTTCACCCTCCCCATCCCTCCCCTGGGACGAACGAACGAACGAACACCCAATGTCGGGCAGCGCCCGGCCCTGCGCGGGGCGCGGGTGGATGGCGCCGCAGTGCCTCAGATGGACTCGTACATGAAGCCGTCCTGCAGGTTCGTCCACAACTCTACATTGCAAGCAAGTGAAATCCAATCCCCGCCAGGGGCGTCGTAGCCGGCATCACGCAAGAAATTGACTACATCGTCAGCCCAGCGCTTTCGAGGTCTCACCGGCAGCCCCCCCCGGGCGCGTGGGTCAAGTTCAGGAATCCAATTGACTGCTTTCACAGCCCATCTGTCACTGGGCATACTTGCATATTTGCTATCTGGCAGCATATTTCCAGATCTTTCGTCGCGCCGCCTCCCGCCAACAATCGATGTGCAGCTTGTTCATATGCTCTTCAATATGATGAGTAACGCGCTTTATCCAGTCTACCCATGGCTCCAAGGCTCCGCCAGCAGGAACTTCATCAACATGACTGTCATCATCGCTCTCTCTCGCGTCCGGTGCTTCGCAGCCTCCCGGTGCTCGATTTTCCTGCTGCGTCTCCCGTCGCCGCCCAGAGCCAAACAGCATTCGCAGCATGCGACGCTGTGCCGTTTGTAACTTGTGCCCCACTTCAGCTGTCAAAACCCAACTGGAAGCCCCACGCAAGACAGCGGGTGTTACAACTGCTTCAAACAAGCGCAATCTCGACATCAGGGGGAAACTTTGGTTAGTCAATTCTGCCTTGTTCGCCATCAACGCCTTCCAGCCCTGCCTTATCCGGTGGTCGACTTCCGTCGCGCCAGCATCTTGAAAGGCAATCGCCCGGCCCGAATACTTCGCGGGAGCGCTCGCCGGCAAAATCTCGATGTCCATGCCCTCGACAGTGATGTGGGTGCGCTTGCCCCTCCCCGTGCCCTTCGTGGCGTTCGTGAAGATCTTCGTCTTGTCCGGATGTAGCTTGAGCCCGACAGCTGCTGCCGCGCCGTAGAAATCAGCAAGCACGCGGCCGATCTGTCGCGAGCTCTGTCCCGTCAACAGTATATCATCTGCAAACCTTAGGTTCGTGAGTCTCGATAAACTTGTGCACCCCAACTGGATTCCGCACTTCCGAGCTGCCCACTTCTCATTCACTTCTCTCATGATGTCCTCGGAGAGGGCGTTGAAGATAAGCGAGCTCAAGGGGTCCCCCTGCTTGGTGCCTCTGGTGATCTCGAACAATCTGCTGGCGGCGTCAGTCCGCACTTGCCCTTTTGTCCGGAGTACATCTTGGCGAGTAGTTTGATGTGCGGGAGAGGCACGTCCTGCTTTGCCAGTGCATTCCAGAGAGCTTGGTGTTCGACGGAATCGAACGCCTTCTGGAAGTCCAGGGCGGCGCACCACAGCAGCATCCATCCGGTGCTCCTCTGCTTGCTCTTGTATCAACCCGAAAATGAATAAATGATCCTCGGTGCTGGACGCGCTTCGGAAGCCGGCTTGGTCACAGCTTTGATTGGCATCAAGAATCGGCGACAGCCTGTTGCATAGAAGCCTCGAGAATACTTTATACAATATCGGGGCAATCGCTATCGGCCTGTAATTACCAGCCAGGCGTTCATCTCTGGACTTGTGGATCACCTTGATAATAGCTTGCTTCCAAGTAGCTGGCGGCTTCGCCTCCGGCTTCAGCAGGTCATTGTACAAGCGCGTCAGAACGTCGAGCAACGCCTCGCCGCCCGCAGTAAGCATCTCTCCGACTATGCCTCGGCAGTCTGCACACCGGTTCCGCTTGATCTGCTTCAGGGCTGTCCGGGCGTCATCTTTGCAGAATGCTGGAATGGAGCCTGCTTGTTCCACACCGGCCAGAAGAGATACTGGTTGCACTTCGCATTGCGAGCTGTGCAACTTTTCATAGAAGTCAGCGAACACATTTGCCATGCCAATTCTAGATGTGACGACAGTGCCCCCGTCAACCATACATGGCGCCATCAGTTTTTTGATGATCGATTTGGCCTCTGCTATGTGCTTGATCCCAGAAAATTTGTCCAGCAAAACACTGATGCGCTCATCAGCTTCCGCTCGCCGTACTACCCGGACTGCCTTATGTATTGCCTTGTTTACCAAAGCTCGCTGCGCCGTGTCTTGCAAAGGCACATTTCTTCTTTTCTGGATCAAGTCTCTCAGACGCCCCTGCAACCGTAGCACCCCCCGGTCTGGTTCTCGATCACGCCCGCGAGAGTTACCAGCAGCAGCTTGCAGCATGAGAGTCTCTACCTGGGCTGCCCGATCGCTGGCCACATGCTCAGGAGATGTCTCTCGGAGCTCTTTGGTGAGAGTGTTGCAAAAACCGGCTGTGGATACCGTGCGCCAGGGAACTTTCTTGATCTGGTCGTTCGGGATGTCCTTCTTGGGCGCGGCGTTCGAAGTCATGCGCCTGCTGGCGACGAGCCTGGCAGCAGCGTGATCGGATCCGAGATCCAAGTACGCCCCATAATCACTATCTCTGACTGTTTTCCAAAATTGCCTGTCCACCAAAATGAAATCAATCTGCCTGGGCCGTCCCTTGGTGGTCACGTGAGTCTGCCGCTTCTCTGGAGGCTTGGAGAAAAATGTGTTGCTGATCACGAGCTGCTCCAAAGTTGCCCATTGTTTCATCCATTGGCCTCGAGAATTCTCGCTGCTCAGACAACACTTCCCGATGACCTTGGGGTCGTCTGTATCAAGACGGCCCCCAGCTTGCGCATTGAAATCAGCTCCCAATATAAATCTGCATTGTTTGGATGTTGCTTCCTTCCGTAACTTAGAAATAGCTGTGTAGAGAGCCTGCACGTGAAGATCCGAATATCTCGTATGTGGGAAATACGCAGAAACGACTCTCGCTTTGAAGTGCCCCATATGCAAGTCTACATGTAGCAGCCTCTCGTTTGCCACGCCGGCGCCCAGAACAGCATTCGCCCATCTCGCCTGCAACAGCACGCCGACCCCGCGCTGATGCTTGGCATAGCCGGCTCCAATAAATAGGTGCCCGCCCTTTGTGATAAAATACTCGCGTGATTCAGTGCGCAACGTCTCACTCAAGATCAAAATGTCCCACTCTAAGTTCTCAAGCTCCGCTGATAGCTCTTTGAGCCTCTCGTCGCCGACGAGGCCCCGAACATTTTTGAAGTAGATGCGAACATGATCATGAATGGCAGGTTCTTTCTTTACCGTGTCATTCTGCGTCTTTACGCCTCGCAGCGCTGCAACAAGGAAGTCCCCGCATACATCATTGCACTTTCCGGTGCCACCGCCACCAGATGTCGACGCTGAAACTGGCCAAACTTGCGAAGGTGCTGATCCAGGCACAGCTTCACGATGCACCGGCTCTTGCTGACCAGCACCGCCTGGTCAAAGGTCCGATTCCGTCTCGGGAGCCGCGTCGAGCTTCGCCCTCCACTTCGCCATCGCCTCCTCCACCTCCCCCTGCACCTTGCGCGCCGTAGGTGTTGCTTTTCACTCCCCGTCCTGGAACCACGCCACCTTTTTGTTGTTTACCTGGACATGTTTTTTCTTCCACACGATCTCGACCTCCCCCTCCTTGGCCACCCCCTTCTTGACCAAATAATAGTTCGTGTAACCGAGTGTCTTATCATCCTCCCTCTCCTTCTTAGTCAAGTTGCTCCTGAAAAAACATTTTCCCGACGACATCCTGGTTGCCCTCTTCCGCAACTTTCCGGAAGAACTTGGTCTTCGTCGCGGCCCTGTCGAAAGTGATCATGCCCATCCGGGCCGGGTCCGTGTAAGTTTCCACCTTCGCCCCGTGCCCGTTTCCGATAATGTTATGGAGGACCTTTTTGATATCTTCGACTACTGTTTTTGCCGTCTTGCCCTCCTCGAACCCAAGCGCCACGACCTGCTTCGCACGAGTCTGTGGGTCACCCCCGGGGTCGTCACCACCACTCCCTCCTCTCCCTCCTTCTCCTCCTCCGCTCCCGGTCCCGATGTTGATGTTCCTCCCCCCCTTCTTGATGTTCTCCATCTCCTGCCTCATCTCCTTCATCTCCTTAAGGGTGCGATTGTTCTGATCGTTCATCGTGTTCTTCAGGTTGACGACTTCGGCCATCGCCTTGCCTGCCGTGTCGCTCGCAATCTGTGCGAGCTCCACGTGCTTATTCAAGTTAGCCTGCGCCCCCATCATCATCTCGTACATCTTGTTCATCTTATCCATCGTGTCGAACATTTTATCGATTTTCTCGTCCCAATTCTGGCTTGTGCTTTTTCTGCTCTGGCGAGCCCCCAATTGCCACAATTGAGGTCCCACTCTTCTTGTTTGGTTCTGGCGAGGAGCCAGGCATAACTGCAAACAAGTCGGTCCAGCAATGCACAGAAGAGCAAATATGGACATC